AGTGAGGGCACCACACAAAGTCAAGCACCGTAACACCTAGCTATTAGTAGAGAGTGGCATAGACTGACGGACAGACAATCGCAGCAGGCATCGAGGGTGTCGTTTAGCTATTAACAGACAGACTAGCATATAAAGGGCAGGCAGCAATCGCAGCGTACGACGCGGAACTTCAACAAACAAAAGGAAGAAACAAAGCAAACGCACTTACCTGAGGGGGAACTTACCTGATGGCCTCCTGCGATGGTCCAGGCAGAGCCTCGTCTCGACGATGTCGACGCGAAGATCCATCCGGCCAGCGCAGACCACAGTACCGCGCGTGCAGGTGCACGCACGGATACCCTCACCTGGTTTAGCCCGCCGGTCGAGACGGTTGCCCGGGGTGTGGCCGCTGAGCAGAGCCCAGCTACGTGGAGCCACAGGTGAGAGTTAGGTGCCAGCAAATGGACGCTAGGCGTAGTCTCACCTGCAAGCAGGTGAGCGACCACTACGACCATCACGTGGACCCACCGCTGACACCCCTACACCCCCCACACACACACACACACACACACACACACACACACACACACACACAAACAAGCACAATACTGACCACGGAAAATACAGCGGCTGCTGGATGTGCTAGTCTGAAGTCCCTGCTTATTTTTTTTCGGTCAAAGACAACTCGCGATACAAGATCGTCCTTGAGCAAGAGCGTCCTGGGCAGTGCACAAAGTGCTACTTCCTTCGGGATACCTCATTAACTGCCCTTTTTAGGGAGCTCTGTAATTGTTCAAGGTAATTCGTGATTCTAATGGAGACTCTCGTTTCCATTCATCTATTGGCCGGGGTTCACCTCCCTTGAACAATTATTTATGTAGCAGCTTCCTGCGAATCATGTTTCCACCTGCATTCACTTGTGTTAACCCGTCTCAAAACTTTCCCTTCAGAAGATCCACGACGCCTACTACTTGGCGTACTGTGTAAACGGCCCATATTTCTAAAAAAGGTATATTAACTTTGGTTGTAAGTCTGCCTGTCCCACTGCCTACCCTCCAGCCCTTTTGAAACTGACCGAATGAGTCACTCTAGGTATGATACTGCCCTATCATTTTCCGACATTATGTTGCACTGGTTGTGGATTCCGCTCTCTCAGAGTGTTCGTGTCAGCGCAGGTGAATGCCCTGACCCCCTATTCATCCCTAACTGCTGCCTCATGTGATGATCACTCTGATAAAAACATTTAATCGCGTCTCGCGTGCGACTGCACTGTCTTTTGGCTTGCAGGTTACTTCTCGTTCCAAAATTTAATTTATCTAAGCTGGCAACGATGAAGGTTCTAGCCTTCCCAATTAATTTGAGGTCGACCGGCGGTGCATCCTGGGACCTCACTTCTTATCACTGGTGTTCTTGTAGGCGCCAATTTACTGGGCCCATTTCAGGCTGCTAGATGTCAGTCGACAAGTGCACAAACAATCGAGCTGAGCTCCAATCGTGACGCCAACGCCCGATCACTCATCAGGCTACATATGACGAGCACCCTATCAAACTGTGCTGAGTCACGTCAACACCCAGAAACATGTGTCATCTCACTAGCGAGGACTGTCAGTCCCAGAGTCTAGCGATCACGCATCCACGTTCTAGCTCACATGCCAACCAATCATAGCTAAGACACACTGGCGACTCCTCGTGTAATCTTTTTCGTTCTGGTGCGGCCATGTCAGGGGAGTTCTTTTGTCGCAGGAGACGGCGTACGCACCTGCCCCATGAGGTGGATCCAGCAGGTGGGCAGAATGGTAAGGGCGTCAATACTGTTTATGCTGCTGCTGCTGCTGCTGCTGATGATGATGATGATGATGATGATGGTGGTGGTGGTGGTGGTGGTGGTGGTTTGTGAGACGAGATGCGGATTGGTTATTCTGACGCTGCAGTAAATCCGGAGATTTCCAACGGGGTCAAAGCGTGCTCTGGTGTCTGATGACAGGTTGGACAGCATGACAGATTTTGGACGCTTGGATCCTCTATCTGCTATGCTTGAGACCTACAAGCTTGTCTACTTACTTTGAACAACTCAATTCCGTTGAGCACTAAGGGGCTTGCTCCAGTGTGCCACGCCTCTGTCGGTAAGATGTGGTTATGTAGCCCCACCTGATAGACACAATACTGTGGAGGTTGGGGTTGGGGTTGGGGTTAGGGTTAGGAGTTAGCGTTAGGGGCTAGGGTTAGCGGTTAGGGCAACTATTTCTCAACCACTCAACGTACAACCGCGCATTCCCAATAGCTTTTCTTTTGCAGGCGACTACTTGACCTCTTCGCCTGTGCGTTCCCCGGTTCCACCTGTAAAACCCCTATTACCACCGGTCCTGTATTACAGACGGCTGCGGTTTGTTTACTTCAGGTGGGGCTACATAACCACATCTGACTCACTTGTCAATTATGTTCGAGGTCCTCTCAGGTCTGCGTACCGATTGACAGTAGCCTCCCAGAGGTCTTAGGGGCTGCAATCACCAGCAGCCACGTTGTCGTAAAATAGTCACTAGGGCAGTCGCTTGTAAGTCATCTTCACAACGTGGCCACTCCGCCGTAGTCGTACCCGCCTCAGTATGGCTCGTGCCGGTTCTTTCTAAAATCTCGGTGTCTGGAATTTTTTCTTACCACTTCGTATTCGGCATTCTTTGGAGTCAGCAGAGATTTACCTGGTTAAATTTTCTTGTTTAACTATCATACGAGATTGTGGTCAGGAAGACATGCTTGTCCATCCGCGAATTCCATTTGCATTCATGTGGAGTTCGTCGTCGCCTGCACTGGGAACCGGTTGGCGCATAAACACTGTTTACTTCATGTTGACTACTAATTCGAACACCTAACAGCCCGAAGCGAAAAGTTCCACATTCCGGTGTTTTTCTATCACAAAGTTGTTGTTCTGTTCAGGTGTTCTCCGAGCGAAATGGCAGACGATCGGGGTCGTCGTTAGTATCCACCTGAGAAAACTGGTTGGTGGTTTCTTTGCTGATTGCGGACGGGCAACCGAGGACGTCCTGATGATGTGCTACCCGGCGCTGCAAGACCTATGACTTTTCTACCAGTAGTGTTGTTCCATCCTGGTTGTTCATTGTTGCGGTCTCCTCCCCGTTTGATAACCACATATTATTTTTCTGATCGCAAAGATATTTATCATCTCACCGATGTCGGCATGTTCCTGGGTTTCCTCAGCTCTGTGAGGTATTCCGTCGTTCTACTTCTTCCTCAGCTTTTGTTGTAGTGGGCCACTGCATCGGCAGTTTGCGAAATTTTTCGCCTCAGGGAGCAGTTGTGAATCTCTTCACTGATGCTATCGAACCGATCTTGGTGCGGCCAAAGTGCGCGGCCAATTGATTACATGGCAGTAACCCGGATGGCATCCTACAGCTCTCCCCACTGGTATTCGCCTCCAACGCCAGCATATGTTCTGGGTTAGAATTTGTGCGACTGCTAAAATTTAATCATCGTCCAGTCGTATCCAGTTATACAATGTCTAACCAAATTAATGTCGACTCACTCTGCGCATGTCCGCGGCGGTGGCATTGCAGCCCCACCTTGGCGACGACAAGACATCGGTCAGCCCAGCAGTCGGCACCACACAGGGTCTTATCCACGAAGAAGTCACGCTAGTCACGCCCCCGGAAACCGGACGTAGTCCAACATATGCCAGTGAAGCGAGCGAGGGTACATCCACTTCACAGCCTCCTGCATCGGGAGACGGGGAAAGGTGGTGGTCATGAGAAGATGGTGTTCCGTAGAGGTCCGAAAGAGATCAAGGCCATTGTTCTTGCAGTTGCCGAGGCCTCCCTTCCAGACCGGATGGCCTGGACGGTCGAGGCGACTGAGGTCGACAAGGAAAACCAGTTGGTCAGCCCTCGATACAGTTGTTAGGAGAACCCGCAGTTCCTTGTAGTACTTCACGTCCTCGTAGCTGATCAGTTTGGGGCCATAAGCTCTGACGATGGCGTCGGATTTGTTACCGCAGGGTGGGAGCTTCATAGGAAGGAGAAAGTTATTGAAGTCCTGTGGCTGACAGGACATCAACCCCGCGACGTTGTTCTTGATGGCGTAGACAACTCAGGCCTCTCGTTGCTCTGTCTTTGAACATTCAGTCCAAAGGAAGGTGTATCCTGCACTCACCTCCTCAAGTTGTCTCATTTCTGAGAAATTAATCCCTCTGAGACGCATTGTCACCTTAGTAAGGGACCATCTACCGAACGGATAGAGCTGGGCTCCTTCCCGGTCGATGGGTGCTTGACTGCCTAAGAGTGGGCGAAATTCTATACTGTCAGAACGACAGACTGCCGAAAGGCACGGGGATAGGAAAGAAGGTAGCTGTTGTTTCCTGTAATGCTTCGATTGCCTCTTATGCTCCCACGATCCAAGGGCAACTCGCCGAGGGCTTCTTTTCCCAGCACCTTAAGGGCGTGCTTTCTGGTCCCCTCGCCCTCGAAGGAGCATGCAGAACACCCATAAATAAGACCACTAAGTATGACCATAAGACTGCTGAACTCCACCGCACCCCAGGACTTAGTTACAATAGAGCTTGTGATAATGATAACTCACGTGGTCCCACATAGACTCTGTACCTAGAAATGCCTGCGTACTTCAGTTGTGTAAGCATGTTACAATGGGTGGGCTAACTCATGAAATGCCGACCGAAATTCCGAAATGCGTTTTTGCTTCGAAAAGGCTATTTATTTAAGGTTGTATAACTGATCATCATGAAGCATTCTTCTACAAGGATTCAGCTACCCCAGGATGATCGCTTTCGAACGAACTTCTTTTCGGCTACATGCAGAAACTATACTCTGTTAGAAATGACTACTTAAATAGCATGCATTTTTATCATTGATTTTGCATGTTCCAAGAAATTCAATTATATTTAATGGGAAACATACATAAAAATATTCACTCTTTTGCTTATTCGGTAGACGACTACGTCTTCGATCAATTTTATGCTCAAAAACAGGGTATAATTTCATTTTTAAAAACTTATTCAATTCCCGAATAATTTTGAACCCGACTTGGCATTGCACTTACATCCTGGGTTTCGAAACTACAATCCGTATATTTTCCGCGCACGGAAAGCATACATTTCTCTACGGTATTAGGAGAGGAATGTATAGGATTCATAAAATTTGGCAGTGGATTTGAGCCTGATTGTGAACTTTGCAAACAGCCTAAGTAAATGCAGAGACACGATGTTTTATGAACAACCATTTCACGGTATTAAAAACTCCCACAACTATAAACTTACACCCTTTATTCGAGCATAAAATTGGTCGAAGACGTATTCTTCTACCGAATTAACAAAAGAATGAATATGTTTATTATGACAGTGGGCGCTCGCCGATCAGGTTACGGAACATGCTCGTTCCGTTGTGCCTTGGGGCTCATACTAGAACCCTCGCAGGCAGTCGCACAGCAACTAGTAGAATGATGTAAATCAGGTGGTACCGACAAAGACAAGGGAGACCGGAATGGCCATTTCTGGCTTATTGGCCGTCATCAGCCAGTCATACCCAACCCCAAGTGTGGATAACTTGAGATTCGAGCCCGGGATCTTTGGTCATGGAGTTTGACGCTCTACCATTGAGCCACGGGCCCGTTGTCCTGTCGGTTGTGATCGGGAATATCAAAGTTTCCATGAAATATAATTGAATTTTTAGGAGCATGGAAAATCACTGATAAAAATGCATGCTATTTAAGTAGTCACTTTTTACAGAATATGGTTTCTGCATGTAGCCGAAAAGAAGTTCGTTCGAAAGCTCTCATCCTGGAGTAGCTGAATCATTGTAGAAGAATGCTTCATGATGATCAGCCTTACAACCTTTAGTAAATAGTCTTTTCGAAACGAAAGCGCATTACGGAATTTCGGTTGACATTTCATGAGTTTGTCCATCTACTGTATGTTGTAATTTCTATGACAGGGATCGAGTACGTAACCCCGACTTGAGGCTCAGGATTGGGGTTTAAGTTGTGGGAAAGGGATAGGAATTAGGAATAAGACAAGGGTCTGAAATTATAGTTTGGGACTGGGTTTTCGGGCTAGGTCAACGTCCCCGTATCCTGTCACACCGATCCTGCTGCGATTTATGACATGACATGGGACTCCAAAGCAAAATTCTAAGTACAAGTGGGCAGTCTGAGAAGGATCTTTCCTCTCAAAACACGTTTTCCTCTAATTTCGTTTGTTTGTCTTCTGGTCATAATGTTTGGAGGATTCTGTTGATAATTTAGTTTATCTCAAATAAAACATTCTTTTGCAGTACCATCCAAGTAGTGGATCTTTAGGGGACGAATGTAGGCCTGGACGAACAGCGCAATTCATGACACTGGAAAGCCCCTTGTTTGTGCGCGGAGTCATAATGAATGAATACCTGGTGAGGTATTAGTTGTAAGTCATTTGGTTTATTTGTCATTCATACTTGACTGTACCAAAGGTCGGTGGGAGGAAATTTTCAGCCAATTAATGCGGGATGAAGAACTTGAGCATCGTGAACACCTACCAGAGGCAACCGTCAGGCGCCAAGTCATGAGACAGAAAACCCCATGTCATGACAGGCGACGTCTAGAGTTGTTTTCCATATCTGGTGCAGTTGCGGACGAAGCAACTGCGTGAGAAAAATTGGGGTTTACTTTGGACGCAGTAGCAGTGAGAGAAGTAAGGCGAACTCTCAGGTCGCGGTTAATTTAACGGAGCCCGACCACACATTTAAGTTTAAGGAAACTGAAATTCTAGCCAGAGGTGACAGCCGCGCGAGTCTCTAACTGACGGAGTCATGGTCCTCCAGTTCGCAGTCGATTAACAAGTGCGATGACCTCCCGCGTCTATATTCCCCGCTAAGACTATGCTTGCATAGGCTAATTAGCCACACAGGTAGGGCTCATGCGGCTAAAGGTGACCAGTACCAATAAGCCAGACGGACGAGTAAGTATCACGCCAAAAATCAACAACAGTAAGGTGAGCACGACGATTAGGGGCTCCCGTGACGGTTATCAATCAAGCACCGCACCCGATGAACCCAGTTGCTGCTATGTATTGTAGTCGTGTGGCTGCATGGCAAATGCGTCCTATAGGTACTGAACTCCTTTTGCCCCTATCAACATGTTCCGCGGCTCCTGTGTCAACAGACTTCTTACCCCAGTGCCTGCATCATTACCATTATCACCAGCACAAATATTATTATTGTTATTATTATTATCTTCTTCTTCTTCCTCGAACTTCTTATTATTATCTTCTTCCTGGAACTGGCCTTTTTTATCTGCAAGATATTCAGAAGGAAAACCTGGACAGGACAATACATTAATTTTCACAGCTTTGTTCCCTCAAATCTAAACGGAAGTTAGTTCGGAGACTGGCATCTAGAGTGCGGCGCATCTGCTCTCCTGACACTGTTAAAGCAGAACTCAATCAGCCGCAAAACACGCTCCGCGAGAACGGCTATCCAGAGACATTCAACCTCCAGAATATAAGAGAGCCTGCCACAAAACTTGCCGTTGCAACTGTAGAGAAGAAAGACTCACTTCCAAGACGGCCTTTTCTAGGAGACGCGGCAAGCGAATTAGTGAGAAGACGTCTTAGGACAGCTCTCTCGAGTGCCTTCTCCGCTGCGAACTTACGTGTGTTCCTTGCAAACTCCCCCCTATTACGGTTGGGGGGCAAAGACTGACTGCCGTTACAGGCTACATCTATGCGTATTTATTCATTCAGTTGCTCCTGTGGGGCGGGATATATTGGCCGTACGGCGAGGCGCCTGGAAAAGAGGGTAGGCGAATAATTCCTGTCTGGCTTGGTAGAGGGAAAAATCCATCGATTTCAAGTTCAAGTGTCGCACATCTAGTCGATACGAACCACCAAGCCGACGCTAAAGAAGCCTTAAAAGTTATCTACCGGGCGTCGTCACATTACTCTAAAGGCCTGCGCAAACGGCTGCTAACCACAGCCAAAACAGTGGCCATTCGATTAGCGAACCCAGCGTTCTGTTGTCAGAAGACGTTGATACAAGCAGTCTGTCTTCCCTGGCCGACTCCAGGTGGTGATCATACGCCGTCCCGTCGCCCTGAGAACAGTTACACACACACTCCGCGTGATTAACATGCAGACAGCGCTTACAATCTCACCGGAACCCCTCTCCTTCCCCTCCCCTCCCACCCCAACTCCACCCTCCACAACACGCTGACCCCGTCATGCGGGCGGCGTGGGAACATGGAGTCTGACTAACCCTGCCCCCTGAGAAACATTCATATCCTGTCCACAATTAAGAAGATCGCTACCCATTTAAATGTATTGGCCTGATGATGAGTTACTGAAAACATACGTTTTCCAATTAATGTTTCAGCAATGAAATACTTTGGTATCCAGATAATTCCGTCTATAACACACTGATGATATCCTGGGATATGTGGCTTCGACCAAGTTGGAAAAGGGACCAGACATGAGAGGAAAAATCGCATAGGCCACTCACCGTTTATTTCTTACAACTGTCTATATCTAATTTTATTCCAAACCTAGGCTGATTATTTTGGTGACAGTTCGACCACACGCACGACGATATCCACCGCGTGCCCACAGCAAGGTGGGCGCGGGGGCGGGGACATGAGCGCAAATTACATGAGGGTAAGCAGCCAACCAGCGCGTAGTGCAACATCTAGCTCGTGTGGTGCCTTGGCTCGCGCATGCGGCCCAATCAATGGCCAGTCGAACATTCGAGATTTTTTCGCGAGGGAATTCTCGCACACGAAACGGCCAATCCCCGACTGACACCCCATAGGCCGCAATGTTCCAGAACGTTCAGAGAACCAAGTAAAAAAGTAATTTTTGGCGAATTAGCAATCGTGAATCGCAGGCTGGGAGAAAAAAAGGGTTCGTTTCCGGAAAACCTTTTCTTTCTCTTCCGTCCACCCTCCGGGCTATAGCCATTTTCTCGTGGAGACAGCGTGGAGCGCATGATGTGTCTGCACCCTATTTGTCCTTTGTTATCATTGCTGTCTATCTTCTTACTGCCTTTACCGTATTGCCATTATGCATTCATTAATAAGTTCGTTAGTTTTCATTCCTGGCTGGTCTAGATGACCGTTCGTTAGTAAAAGGACCTCTCACAACCGTTTTCCGGATGTACTCAGTTTCCACGTAAACTTCAGAAGGTAGAATGGTATTGCCGACAAAGACAAGGAAAACTGGCTTATTAGCCGTCGTCAGTCAGTCATACCCAAGCCCGAAGTAAGGAACACCCGATGCTCGCGATCTGTTAGTTAGAAGTCCACGCCTCTAACCACTGGGCCACGAGCCCGTTGCCCTGTCGGTTTTCAATCGGGAATATACAACGGTAGGGGGCGCTCACCGATGGTTCTTACGGAAGTCACTCGTTCCTTTGTGCCTTACGGGCTCTCTCTCGAGCCCAGCCAACAGCCGCCTAACAACGAATGATATAGGCAGAATGGCATTACCGACAAAGACAAGGGAGACTGGAATGGCCATTTCTGGATTATTAGTCGTCGTCAGCCAGTTATGCCAACCCCGACGTGCGGAACACGCCGCAACCTCAGAAAAAAAGAAGGAAAGGTGGAAACGAAGAAAGGCCTTTCAAGATTTACAGGATACGAAATCGTTGCGGGTAGATCTTCATTAAGTTTCAACTCTATCTGAGGTTATAAAGATGTAGAATGCTGATTGAAAGGTTGCCCTTGCCGACATAGATTTATCCCTTATAAAGCGATTTAAACGGTCGCTGGATACTCCAACAAAAAGAGTGCAAAAGCACAACAACTCAACGTAAGCCAACGGTAGGTCCTCCACGATGATTAATCACAAAGTTATCTTCTACGTAGATCTAATCCCCGAACCTTCGACGGGGTAAGCGTCTGATTCGAAAGACGGTGGCTTTGCAGACATATAGAAGATACCTGGCATATGACATTCATGCTATAGATCGGAGTCTACTTTCTTTCCCAGTTGTGATGCATATGCTAGTTCAGGAGCCTACTTCCTGTTTCAGTACCCCGCCTGTTTGGGATTCAACAAAAAAAACGATATCAGAACAAAGCAGATTTACCGAAAGTGGGGTTCAGTGTTGAAACCGGTACGACAAATGGGCAGCGAAATTTCCCGACAGTGACTTGTTATACAGAAAGGGCATGTGCAGTGTCAGACCTCTTGCAGCAACTTAATTCAATATCAGTATGTAAAAGAGATCATTCTCGGCAACGTAGCCCCAGGCTTCGTATGTCATTGCTCTTGTCGGATGAGCATAGTTTAAAGGCCATTATTTCCTTCTTCTACTTAGTACATCTCAGTAAACCTGCAGCGCTTAGGTTACCCTCCATAGCATGGATAAACATTGCCAGATTCGCAGAAGATGCAGTGTGACACACAGACGCTTTCGTGAAATCGTGGTCAGGTCGAAGTATCTAGCTGAAAATGAGACAATATGATTCGACCTTGGGCGTCCTCTGGTTTCGTGTTTCTATACTTTTACCGTGTGGGCGTCGCTTTGAGGTCACCGTGTCTGCATTCACATGGTTTTCAAAATAAGGAATACATGAGAGGCACGCCACATCTATCGACCATTTAGAAGGTCATTCTCGCAGTAGACTGTAATCAGGCTGGAGCCCTCCCACGCAATTCGGTAATTTCGTCACCCACTTGTCGTCATATGCGCCCAAGCACTGTGGGCCAGCTCCACTAACGTTGGACTAGCCGTGCTGACTACTGCAAAGAACATAAGTAGACCTTTGTTAGTAAATATTTTTGGTCGGCGGTCTGAGTCGGTGTGTGTAGACATGCGCACATTGGTTTACTGTGAAGTTATATCAGACTGAGGACCGCAATGATCCACGGCATGGCTTAGTCGGGCTGCGTAAGTCTCCACGAATCACCAACTGCAGGGAATGATACAGCTGACATTGTTGCTTTCTAATTTCCTCAGAAATCAACTGCAAACTTGGAGCAAATCAGTTCATACGAAAGTCTATAGGCGCAGACCAAAGTTTAATGCATGAATATTTGCGTTGAAGTCCACCAGCCACAACTAGAAAACCGCCTTATATTGAGTAACTGTAAAAAAGCAGCTAGGACTATATTTTAGGGCTACAAGATGCCATACTAGCGGCACAGGTACTAGGTAAAAGCCCAGGCACTCGTGCTTCGCCAATATTCTGCCGCAGCATGGTTCAGCTGTAAGAGGTTTGGCTCTTCAGTGGGTGCCCTAGCATTTCGCGTGTGTTTTTGGCAGATACTCCAGTTTAAAAATTGTTGTTTTTAATCTCCTCAGAAATTACGTGCGAACTTGGAGTAAATCAATTTACACTTAGGTCTATGCGCGAAGACAGAAATTCGGAGTGCTTACCAGAAAACATTCAGGTGGCCTAAAGTGCACTGAGGAAAACAGACTCATCCCAGCATTCGGTATATTTCTAGGTCAAGATTTCTAATCCGCCACAATAATTTCAGGCATGCCCGCCTTATCACTGCGAGAAATGCCCTGAAGCGCTGTGAGGCGAGGTATCTCTGCATCCACCGCTCTTCTATTTCTCTTTTTTCATACGTCAATGATTTATTTTGCCTGTAGGTCAGCTGTAGATGAGAAGGGACACAGTGATTAACTTGACTCAAGAGTGTGTCGCACACACGAACTTTAACAGTGATGGAGCGTAACGGATGCATATTTACATAGGGTACAAAATCAAAAGAAACCGTGATGTACTGCCGACATAGAATTTGGCGACTGCTCACCTACTGACATCTGCCGCTGCATTGCACAAACAACGAGTGTTGACGTCAGTAAAGTCTAAATTTGCTCGAGGCCACACCCTCGCAAAATACAGTTAATGATTCCTGCAGTGTCAGCGCAACTCGAACAACGCATTCCGTGAGTCAATGCGGCCTGTATAGGAGACAATGACCGCACGCCGACTCTGACTGCCGCCAAAAAGTACTTTGCTAGCAAAGGTCTACTGATCGTAGCGGACGCTCACCGATGGATCTATGGGACCTGCCCGTCCCGGCGTGCTATATCACTAATCGCTGGTCGACTGCCCGCATGACTCTAGATGGAGCAGCAAAGCGTCAACCTTACACACAGGTCTCGTAACATGGCCAGTAAGTGCCCTTTTCCACAGTTGGTGCACCCGATCGCAATTGACAAGACGGCAAGGCCGCAGCTCAGTGGTTAATAGGCTTGGACTAATAAACAAAGGAGCGCGAGACCAGGCCAGAGATGCTGCAGGCCTAAAATTGGACATGACTGAGTGCTGACAGCTAATCAGCCAGAAATGCTCAGTCCAGTCTCCCTAGTATTTGTCGGCAATCCCCTGCTGTCAAAACTACTTCTGATTTCTGCAGTATTCAACACAGTTAATCTTATGTTGTAGAGTTTGTTCACGGTGCTCTGGTGCATATGATGACGAGTGGATGGCGAGGGAAAGCGACAAAGTCTGGGGGTTAGCTTAATGCAGTAGTGTTTCGGGCCTGTTTGCCTTCATTCAGCCAGTCATAACCCTCACCATCAGCTGGGGTAGAAAACACAAACATGCTCACAAACCTGGCGCAGCTGGTCCATCACTGGGGCATCGAATCTAAGTTCATCAGTGCCTCGCCAAATGCCATATACATATATGCACAGTATTGTGATTGTGTCTGCTGACAAAGGTGGCGCGACCGTCGTCATGGAAAAGAGTGATTACGTCAACAAGGCGAACCAAGTCTTCAACGACAGGGAAGCCTATGCACCACTCGCGGAGGACCCTACTAAAAAGCAAGCCGCAGCTGTGAAAAAGAAGATGAATGAGCTCACTCGACTGAAACTCATAACCCCCGATGACTCCAGATGTATGACTCTCAACGACCCCCGAATAACCCATGCATATGCCCTCCCAAAGGTGCACAAAGAAGGTGCGCCATTGAGGATCATAGTGCCGCTTATTGGATCGCCCAACTACAACCTCGCTAAATGGTTATACAGGCACTTGAAGCACCTCACCAACGGATCACAATATACCACCAAAAACGCTCAGGCATTCCTCCAGAAGATCCAAGGCCTGAAAGTAAGTCCTGATGAGTGTATTCTATCGTTTGATGTGGTTGCCCTGTTTTCCTCAATACCACATGACCGAGCGATTGAGAGCGTAACCCGACGCCTGCAAGATAATCCAACCAAAATTCCAATAGAACACATTTCAGAACTTCTTAGACTCCGTCTCAAGAACGACTGCCAATTCGACGGAAAGTTTTATCAACAGATTAGGGGTACACCAATGGGCTCGCCAATAGCAGGTCTACTAGCTGAACTAGTACTACAACAACTAGAAGAAGAAGTTATGCGGACCTTTAAACCAAAAATGTGGTTCCGATACGTAGATGATACGTTTGTTATCATGAAGACCTGCGAAACTGAGCAACTACATCTGAGTCTGAATAGCGTCTTCCCAGCTATCCAGTTTACTTGCGAAGAGGCAACAGGAGGCATTCTCCCGTTTCTAGACGTTAGTATCAAAACACTTAGGGATGACGACCTTGCAACAAGCGTCTACCGAAAAGACTCCAGTGCCGACATCATTATCAATTATGAAAGCAACCATCCCGCGGCTCATAAAAGGCGCTGTGTCCGAACCCTTTTCCACCGGGCCTATCGTTACTGCAGCAGCGGTGCTCTACTTAAGAAAGAACTCGCTTTCCTGTATCGGTTATTCCGGCTCAACGGATACCCGGTCAGCTTTGTAAAAAATTGTCTCAGGCATCAGAGACAACCACAAGGCACTGGTTCTAATGAGGGACCAGAACTTCGAAAATTCTACTCTCTGCCCTACATGCAGGGTATTTCAGAAACGATCGCCCGGCAACTAAACCGGTTTGGCATCTTCATTGCCCACAAGCTGGCGTCCTCTGTGCGCGCAACACTATCGTGAGTGAAAGACCCTATACCTAAAGAGCAGCAAACCAATGTCATCTACCGCATTCCATGTGCCAACTGCTCTTGCGACTATGTTGGTCATACAGGCCGACGACTTGGGACACGTATAAACGAGCATAAACTAGCCATCCGCCGACGTGACCACTTGTCACTCGTGTTTGCGCACTCCCTTGAATGCGACCATCGCTTCAATTGGGAAGGAACTGAAATTGTTGCCATGGCGAACACTAAACATGCTCGTGAATTCCTCGAAGCCTGGCACTCTAGCACGACAAACATCAATCGCCATGTCGATCTAGATGCTCATTACGAAGGTCTGCGTGCCCGGCTCACTGACTTGCGCCCACGACCTAACAACAGCCGCTAATCCACACTGGGCCATGTAGAATCGCACTATTTCGTCACCCCATTACACCCCCAGACACAGCGAACCGCAATTGCAACCCGTAACACCTTTAGCGAGGCTCACTGACCTCCGCCCGCATGCCGGATCGACGACCATTAAGTCAACTGCCCATAGTTCCATTGAATCGTCATCCCCCGCCTACCCTCCAACACAGGGAGTCGCAACTGTTCCCCCTTCCCTTCCCCGCCACGGATCACAGCCCAATTATCTGCCCACCCCCATTCATACATTCGTTGCTTGCCTGTCAATGGCTGCCCTGTCACGCCAACAAATTTACTCTGACCAGTTCACTTTCTCCACTGTTTATTTCGTCTGACGACGGGTTGGTGTCACCAGCTCGAAAATTCACGAGTACAACTCGATTTTTCCGACGAGCCTTCCATCTTCATCACATATGCATATATTTGCGGTATATGGCTTGTCTCATGAGATATTAGCCGCAATTCTGAAATGTATCCTCTGTTATAAACGGTTGCTTAAGTGGGACTGAAATAATAAATATCGTGCAGCATACTCCTAGGGTATCTCATGCCTGGCTGTTGCTGTCATCTATTCGAATCCCACCGTGGCCGCCGAATTATTCACAGTTGAGCCAAACGAATTATTTAAATCTGAGGCGAACACCAAAGAGTTTTAAGTGGCAGTTTAGAGGATGCTTAACATCGTAGGTTCACAGAGTGCGGTGAAGTGGCCAGTACATTATCGACGCGGGATATGTGGGACCAGCCTGTTGATATTTGATTAGCTTAGTGATCAGTCGTCTCCCGTTTTGATCAACCTCCACCCACACCCTTTAGACATTTTTGTTGCGAGAGCTTATTTCAGTAGGCTATGTTCTCGTCTATGGTGTTTTCGGACACCTTTGCAGTGGCATGAAAAAGCGCTTTGTTTTAGTGCGCCAAAAATACCACCTGCAAAAACTTTTGGCGCAACTTTCAATGACGAGTATCTTCACGTTGCATATTTGCGGCAACTTTATTCTTCCTAATTCTACTCGCGATAGACCGGCTTATTACCTACATTAGTGACCATGTATCGTCCATAGAGCCTTCTGTTTCATTTCTGTGCATGAATATTTCCAGTCGGATTCATTCTCATCCTACTTGTTATTGATCAGATTATCTTACCCATACCTTATTTGCAATCCCCGCTGCCTCACCTTTTCATCCTATACGAGCGGTACCCTTCACTCTCAGCGTCAACGCGGCAGTCATCTACGCCAAATATCTGGCCCCTAAGCGACATCAACTAATTCTGTCCAACGATTTCACCAGCCATATAATAGCCAGCATTCAAACCTTTGTCCTTCCAGCCGTATGGTTTGGTAACATCACGATGTGGCTGCGCGTTGTAAAGTCCTGTTTCGTCAACCCCCAGATTACACGAGATGATACGAAATTTCACTATGCTTTGCAGAACCTCGCAACATCATAGCTTGCCCGCCCACAGAAGCCCCATATGCTGCACCAAGGGAGGCTCTCATTTCCCTTTGGTCATGCTCGGTATCCATAACTCGCTCAAACCCCGCTTGGAGTTTTCCACTGCCGAACTTGCTTACGGGACTATCCTAAGAACTTCCGGCGGCTTTTTCGGACCATCTCAAGGCTTTGCCGATCTGGATGCAACAGAGTATGTCCAACGGTTGTGCCAAACATTGATTTACCTCTGACCCATACCTTCATGCGTTCCAGCAAATAAGCCATTTTTAACCCTGAATTGCTAATGTGTTCTTCTGTTCTTCGTCTTATTTTGTATTTAACCACGTAGATAGTTTGCGTTAGCCACTACAACGACCCTACGAGGGACCATTTTGATTCCTGTCGCGCACGGACAAACATTTCAAAATCGTCCCCGGTGAGAACAACGAAGTGGTACCAATCGACCGGATGAAGGTGGCCTATACCGACCCTCCTTCGCCCACCCCAACTGACCAGCCCTCTTCACCTGCCGCAATGCCTTCTTCGATCGCCCGGCTTCGTTTCCACCTGATAACCCCGTGCATTCTCCTCCCACTTCCACCCTAAAGGGCAGCGGTTGTCGTGACATTTCTCCGTTCGTTAATCAATTTATACATTATACCTAAACCTTGTTTAATTTACATCCATTTTTAACATTTGAACTCTATTCTCCTGGGGGGATGTATTGTAACGAGATAAAAACCTTTTGTTTAAGTGCGCCAAAAATAAGGCGTGTAAAAAATTTTGTCACAACTTTCTTATGACAAGTATCGTCACGCTGCATAGATGCGGCAACTGTGTTCTTTATAATTCTACTCGCAATGGACCGGGTTATTTATTACATCTTTATGCATACTGATACATCAATTAAAAGTGAAGTGACAGGTAAAATTAATGACGTCGCTTAGGCAATATTTCTGTCCATTCCATTATAGTGTCCACGGCCCAGACGATGAAATATCTCCCGAATTCTCGAAGCTCACAGGCGTAAATACCAGCCCCTTGTCGCGTGTTGCACATGATGAACTGTATTCTGGCTGGAGGCCTCAGGGACATAGGAAGCTGGTGCTGTCTACAGATTTCGTGGTAAAAATTTATTGAAACAGAACAGCGACGTCTCCAGTCCATCTGCTCCTATCGGACTTTCCGTCTTTTTAACAAATAGCCGGCAATTCTGTAATTATTGCGTTACCATGCATTGCCAGAAACTGGGAGCAATGGGCTTTTATCTCAGGAGTGTCAAGTGCTAGCCGCGGTGCCAGTCAAGGTCGAACAATTAGCTTACCTAATTTTGGTAGAGGGGCACTCACCGATCGTTCTTAAGGAACCAACTCGTTGCGTTCCGCCTATCGGGCTCTCTCTCTCTCGAGCCCACCCAGCAGCTGACGACGGCTAATAAGTCAGAAACGGCCATTCCAGTCTCCCTTGTCTTCGTCGGTAATGCCATTCTGCCTATATCATGCGCCGTTGTGCGGCTGCTGGTTGGACTCGAGAGAGAACCCGTAAGGCACAACGGAACGAGTGGGTTCCGTAAGAACCATCGGTGAGCGCCCCCTACCGTTGTATATTCTCGATTGAAAACCTACAGGGCGACGGGCTCGTGGCCCAGTGGTTAGAGGCGTGGACTTCTAACTAACAGATCGCGAGCCTCGGGTGTTCCACACTTCGGGGTTGGGTGTGACTGGCCGACAACGGCTAATAAGCCTGAAATGGCCATTCCAGTCTTCCTTGTCTTTGTCGATAGTAACATTTTACTTAGTTTTGAAGTGCAAGAAGCTATGATGACACTATGCACTTGAATTCTCATTTGCTTTATAATCTTCGCTTTACGTGTCCGATGAGTCATGCCAAGGTTTTGCTGGCTGCCTTTGGTGATTAGTCGTCAAAACCGCGCCCTGCACTCTAGCAACCGTGGTCCTTGACAATCCACGATTGCCTAATTTCTGTCGACGGGTTTGAGGAGCGCAAAAGTACAAGTAGTTTGTGGATCTATTGTTGCTGACGAGCGCTAGAAGCAGATGCCAGGTGTACCTGCCTCTTATGTTTTTGCTCTATTACAAAGAAAAGGGTGCGGTCTCCAGTGATTTCGTCACGGTCGTCTAGGCGGTTGTGGTTTGGCTACTCTACTTGAAGTGCATATCGGTCAACTTCAGTAACATCTACGGGGTGGCGGCAGATGAGTTCTCACTAGGCATGTTTTTGATCACGTGCTATCTTGCTCGAAAAAATTGATCAGTGCTTCTGCTACCGTTCTATAAGTATTTCTCCAGCATAGATTGTTAACGTTCCTTAAGCTGCCAGATAATATCTCTCATGTCCCGCTGGTTTTCTAATGAAGTTTGATAACTGGCCTCAGTTTCTATACATTGGCGTCAGTGAGATTTGGCTGGTAGAGCTGTCTTTCGTCAGGGATTATGAGTTGGCATTAAGAAACACGTTGATTAAACTGGCAGTTTGAGTTACAACCTGCCTGGGTTGATGACGGTTCTCCGAAGCTGTGCTCTTTTACATGGTCACCTGGCTACACTAATAAACTGGATGATGTTTTATGCAATTGGAAGAGTGTACGGACCATACAGCGTTCGCTCAAAAACTTGTCGTCTTCAGCCTGCTGTAGTTTAATTTCGCATTAGTTACACTGCCCCACTAACTGTTTGTACGACTGAAATATGACTACCGCACTGCGGTCAAGGAAACACAATGCCACACAATACCCTTGAAAATCCAATTATATTTCATGGACAAAATGCATAAAAAATTCATTCCTTTGCTCATTCGATAGAAAATTACGTCTTCTTCAAATTTCATACTTGAAAGAAGAGTATAATTCGATTTTAGAAGCTTTTCTAATTCCCAAATATTTTTGAACCCGATCTGCTGTTACACTTGAATTCAGGGTTTCAAAACTGCAAGCCGTATATTTTCCGTGTACGGAAAACCATGCATTTCTCTACGAAATTAAAAGGAGACCAGTTGTCGATTATTTTCATACAACAAACGACGGGCCGAACACTGCGCATATCTGTTGGCCGCAAAGAAATCATGCAGAAGTCACCTTGCACTACGGAAGCAAAGATCGTATCTCTCACAAATAAAGTGTCGTCAACAGCCTTTTGATTCAACCAAAATCAC